GCTGCAAAGCGCCACCAATGAATCCCGCTCCATCCATGTTTCTGCCTCACTATGTGCCATCGCTGCTTTATTCCAGGCCAGCCCTACTAAAGCATTGGAATGTGAGCTCCACTTGCACGGTGCCAACAGTCGAAATGTTTAAACAGTTTTCCCGGCTCTGAAAATCAGTAGCTGCAATTCCATAACACCATGAAGCGTGTCTGTGACTAGCAGCCCCGGGCGTGGCGAGTCTGATAAGCAGAAGCAGGCTTAATGATTGAACGATTTCTTGGAAGCCCTGTGCTGCCCTTTCCCGTAGAGACAAGCGGTGCCGAGGCTGCTGCGGTCCTGCATTTTTAATCGCAGGCAGATGTCGGGGGCACGAGAGCGACAAATCCTGCAAGGTTCCAGGCTTCCAGGTCGCTGGCCTGCAGGCGCTGTGCGGCTATGCGGGGTGGTTGCTGCACACGGGCGCGTGTCTCTTCTGGGCTCGAAGCTTCGCGTTCCAACTTAATTCACATGCCGTCCACGCATGGAGACGGCACAGGGCACATGGGATCTCGGCTCGCTTGGTGAGGCGCAGACGGTGAAGGCGTAGCTTGAGGGGTCGTCCCGGTCTCGGGCTGCGCCTTCCCAGTTAAGGTGAATGTTGACAGCCAAAGCCAAAGCAGCCCAGGGCCGGCTCCCCGGAAGTCTCAGAGCCTTCCGACGGCAAGTGAGCGCTCAAGTGACTGCAAGGTCAGTGCCTGTTGCATTGACGAAGTCTCTTTCAGAAGCAGAGACGCAGTCCATGGAGACGACCTCTCCCGGGTCGGACACCGCTGCAAAGGAGATCAAGGACGATGAGTACCCGCCCCAAGAGCTCAAGGACCAAAGTCCATCGCTCCCCGTTCCCCCTTGGCAAGCCAGCCATGCGCATTGGCAGCACTGGCAACTTCAGCAATGGCACTATCAACAAAGGATGGTGCATCCTCCTCCCCCCCTCCATTTTCAGCCACGCCACATCAGCTTGCAGCCTCCGTCCTCAAATGAGGTGCAAGAGCTAGAGGGCTTGGCTGGCAAGAAGTTTCATAGCATTCAGGAGTTGGAGAATGCCATGAAGCACCGAAGCCGTTCCGCTTCGATGGAGAAGGACCCTGTGCTTCCGCACAGCGGCCGTTCCCCCTCCCACTCACATGGATGGTCCCTGGCTGGCAACGGCCATGTCGGCCACGTGTCGAACCACAGCCAGCATCTTCGGAACCCGAAGTCCAAACTGCCACTACCCCCGCCCCCACCGCCACCGCCGCCACCCGCGCAAGTGCAGGCAGCACCAGTGCAGTCCGCGCAAACGCAGGCGCAGTCACAATTTCAAGGCCTGCCGGTGAGAATTTGTAGTGCAGTCGCTCCTTCGATCTCTGGAACCATCGTGTTCAAAGGCGGAATGACGATGCAAACGGGCACGGTGCGGCGACTCTTTCCCGGGAAAGGCCGGCTGGAGTGCACCTGAGGACCTCTGTAGGAAACTCCTGAAAGCTTACAGCTCTCACGCTTCACACCCAACAAACCCAGGCCCGAGACCCTTCTCTCAGGCTTCGGTTTTGTTGCGCGCGACGACGGCGGACGTGGGGCCAGGTGCGTCGTAGTTATGTGCTCAGCCAGTGATGTGAGAGCGTATCAGAGAGTTGGAAGCTTGAGGTTTAAAGCTTTAAACGGCCGGTCGTTCGAGCTGCCTTCTTATGATTCTGCTGCCTTCGAGTTCTGCGTCCTCCAATTGAAGCGCTTTGTTTTTTGCGATGCCACCGTCAGTTTTCCACGAATCGCCTCGAGCACTGCCCTGCCATGCCCTGCCGCCCTGCCCTTGGCAGGCACGGACGAGGAGATGTTTTCCTGCACTTCTCGGACCTGGAGCCTGGCGTTGGCTCGTCCGAGCTCGCCGTGGGCGCGCGCGTGAAATTCTACTGGGAGGACTTCAGTTTAGGGGAGCGCGCCCAAGTCTTAGGGGCCCGACTGTGCCCGAAGAGCCGTCGGATACTCCCTCCTGTCTGCCTGCAGGAGCCGGCGGACGCGCAGCGCGGGCCTGGGGGCCGCGCACGGCGCGTCTCCCTCACCGAGCTTCCGGAGCCGGCCCGCTCCCCAAAGCGATGAGACAGCAGAACAGAGAGTGTGTCAGAGCAGCCTCTGAGTTTCCGGCCTGCAGGCACCGGGTCCACTGGGCCAGGGGGGCGTGCCGCCGCCCATGTCTCTTCCTTACGCCGCGGCCCCGGGAGCGGCCTGCTGCGCCCTGCAGGGTCGATGCGACAGACATTTCGTTTGCTCTGAGGCCTTTGGCGCTTCGCATCCGATGGCGGAGGTTCGGCTGCGGTGAGCGCCGGTTCACAGGAAAGGCCCTGAGGGGCGTCAGCGCGCCAAGGCAGAAGTCACGGCGACCACGCCCGTGTCGCGGCTTGCAGCGGGGTTCCCGGGTTTGAAGCGCGTCGTGTGGAAGCATGCACTTCAGGCGAGGACGTCTTCGGACTCCATCGCAGTTCTGCAGTCCTCGTTGTAAATAATCAGATTCCTTCCGTGCCACTTTGGCACCAAGGGCATGAGCACCTGGAGCACTGCATCTTCGTCCGGCCCTGAATTGACTCAAGACTCAAGACTTGTCCTTTGATCTTCGATGCGCTGGTCTCAGCGACCTTTGTGGAAAGGCTGGCTCCAGCGCGACCGCGGCACACAGGTTCGCCTCTCAAAAAGCCCGAGCTTTGCCGAAGCGTAGCCGTAGCCCGCAGTGGCCGCCGTGGCCCTGTGCTCTGAGGACGCGTCTATCGCCGAGAAAACCTTCTGGCCGTAGAGGCCCGGCGGGGTCGCTGCGAGAGTCGTCCCCCAAGCGCTGGTTCCTGGTGGCTCCACGTGGAGGCGAAGATGCGCTCGGCCGGCCATCTGCGAGAACCGAGGCAGAAGACGGGGCCGTGTGTGTTATCTTATGCATCTGAATATGCAAAGAGAGAATCTAGAGTGCACCATGCTATGCGCGGTTTCTTTCCTTCAGTGCGTGCTGCTACAAGCATCTTCATTCAAAACACATTCGCAGCAGGCTGTCGTGCTTATCACCACATGCACGCACACAGCCTGCATGCATGCATGCATGCATGCATTTTGCTCCAAGTGACTACACGGCACATGCATACATACATATTGCATTGATTCGTCCGTTCGCTCATTTCTTCCGGCTTATTGTCTTATGAGCTGGCCGATCGGTCTGTCGGCTGCGGCACGGTTTTGGACAGACAGACAAACAGATTGATAGAACATATATAGATACATATACACACACACAGAGATACATACACACACCCGCAGGTGAGGGCACGCCTAGATATGTACATGCACACATCAATACGAAGACACTCGATGTTTGATGCCAGTGTTACGGGTATCATCATGCATCAGACATGCTGTGCTGCACCGCATCCAGCCCTTTCGCTTGTTCGGCACTTACGAATTAGAAATAGCCGGAGGCCAGTCGGCGTTCCCCGCCTTCTTCCGATGCCGAAGTGGTACTGGGACAACGAAGGCTGCGTGAGCGAGGCCGACGGTGGGGCCTTGGGGCAGAGTCGGTCTGCTATTGTGCAACTTTACCAGTTGTAATACATGCTGGTGATGACGGTGATGATGCATGTGTCCGTGGTGATGTGCAGAATTTCCGAGTAGCGGAGGCGACGATGGTGGGGATCATGACGGCGATTGTTGTGGTGATGACGCTGGTGCTGGCTGCTGTACTCTACTCCTCATCATCATCAGCATCATCATCAGCATCATCATCTCATCATCACCATCATCACCATCATCTCATCGTCATCATGTCATCATCACCATCGTCATGCTTCGTGAGAAGACATGTCTGTGTTTGCCAGCGAAGACGCCTTCGGCTTTCGCCCAGTATTTGGAAGCACTTGGAACACATGTCAGGACGAGACAGACGACGAAGCGCGACTCCGGGCACTGGAGGCACGCCGCCACGGACGCGTCCCCCGGACACTTTACAGTGGCATATCCATACATGTTGACGGCTTACACGTCTTGCTTATAGTGTGCCTTTCTGTCATTTACCCATATCTACATCTCTTGCCATTCTCTTGCCTATGTAGACTTAGAGGCAGATCGATAGATTTAATACACAACTGGAGTAGCTAGAGCATCTGTAGAGAGATGGGCAGATAGATGGAGGGATTTCAGGACAGAGAGCCAACATACTGCTACATGCACCCATGCATAGCGCAGCAGTGTTTTCGCATTGGTTCGACATCGGCGGAAGGCGCGGCTGGACCGTGAGAATGGGGCCGACGCGAAGAACTTCGAGACCTTCGGTGAGGTAGGGTTTTTTGGTAGGATGCACCTTTTTTGCTCGTCCCGAAGCCTCTTCTGACTTGCTCGAGGCTTGGGCGGTCGAGGCCTGGACCTTCGAGGATGCTCTGGCCGCAAACCAGAGGAGATCTCTTTCGGATCGCAGCCTCTGAGCCCCAGTCTGAATTGGTGGCTTAGCTTGAGCTCGCGAGAGGATCGCTGCTCACCAGCGCGCAGGCCTGTGAAGCTTCAGATTAACGGTTAACGGCAAGGGAGCGCCCCCCCTCCGGCAGGAGTCGATTTTTCCAGTAGAGACTGAAGAGAGAGAGAAGCAGTGCAGGTTTCAGTTTCGGTGTGATGTAGCAAGACAGTGACTGGTTAGATGCCTTGCTTGTGGACCACGATCACAGGTGTTGTGAATACTGGACATGAGGAAGTTCCGCCGGAAGCGGCCCAAAGCTGGAGGAGTCTCGTCGAGTCTTTCGGAGGCCTTGCCGGCCCAGTGCCCGCGCCGGGGCCTGCGCGTGCGGCGCCGCCTTTGGCGCCGCCTTCGGCTCCGCCCTCGCCGGCCTGCGTCCGGGAGGCGCCCGCATGCCTCAACAAAGATAAGACGAAAGCATCTGCTCCTGTGTCCTCTGAGCTTTGGGGACATGTATCCGTCCGTTATTTCTTCGAGGAAGCGCGGGGCGAAGCAGCAGCGCCGGCTCCGACAA